AACTCTTGCATAAAAACATATTGTCATGACTTCAAACTTTGATAATAACGTGTTTTTGTATATTTCTGCCAGTGGAAACTCACCTTAGATTATATTAACTTGCATACTTTATGATATGTAGTTTTCTGATTATCTTACGTCACTTGAAATTTTGGTTCTTGTTTAAAGATTGTTAAAATTGCTGCCTAACTTTAGCAGATTTTTTTGTAAATTTTCTAATATTTCTTTTATCATTCCCACTAAGCTCTAGGCTTGTGCTAGGATATGGTTTACGACAATAGTCGAATGGCGTGATTCGAACCCCCGACCTCTTGATCGGAAATCGGTACCCTTAACCATTAGGCTATTGAGGCTTAAACTGGTAGTAGAGCATGGGGTTTGGGTGTGTTCTATCACCCACAACTCCATCCGCGCGGAATTAAAAAACTTAATTAGTAGCCTATGTATTCTTGCAGACTATGTTCTACCTCTATTGCCAATTTCATCAAGATCCTTGAAGCCGTTCTGGAGATACCCTCAAACATTTAAACACTCTCATTTATAACATTAGTAAGAAGTAAGATTATGTACTTACCTGTATAAGAAAGGTGAAATCCGTAAGAGTCCGAAATAACTATAAAACATGACAATACAGGCAAATTATGAATCATTTCATTTTGAAGCCTATTAAAAAGTAATTTGAGAATCGATTTAAACAGTAGATAATTACGTGCAAAAGTAACAGTTCATGTTAATCAAACAATAAAATTATGTCGAGTATAATTGGAGTAAACATTTCATCGTAAATCAATCGTTTTTCAATAAAAGAATTCGAATTATGAAATAATATTCATGATTATTTATTTTTGCAAATTAAAAACTATCTGAATTAAATTAGCTTACTTATTTACGTAGAGAGTAAGGCAATGATATGGATTTATTATAATTTTTGCAAATGAAAACCAGAGCTAAATAAAATTATAAAGGACAAGAGCAAAGGGAGATTCTAACAGTTTTTTTTTTATATCACAAGGTGGCAAACGAGCAAGCGCTGAAATAGCGAAGTGACCGTTGCCCATAGACATACGTGATTGCATATGCGTTGCCTACCTACGGAGGAGAGGATGCACAGAAAGAAAATATTTTCCTTTTCCATGAATCCTCTCATCCGGAAAGTCCAATTCCACTTCCCATCCTTTCCTTATAAGAAAAAGGGGGGGAAGGGAAAGAGGACTACATTAGGCCACCGGGGCACACACTCATCAGACGAAACGCGGAATTACTTCCACTTCACGTCTGTCTTCTGTGTGATCGTGGTATTTCACCGGGCGAGCCGGGACAACTCGTGCGAAGATGTTAAAGCGGGCTCTACCACTGTTACTTTTAGTTTACTTAGTCTAGTTTTTTATCTATTAATAAAAAATGAAATGGTAATGAATTCAATCTATCTATACAATTATATAAGCCGGTGGCTATGGGGTTAAGCGCTTGACTTGCAATCTGCAGCTACTGGGTTCGAATCCCGCCATGTACCAATGTGTTTTTCAATATACATATGTTCATTTATCCGACGTTCTTAAGGTGAAGGAAAACATCGTGATGCAACCTGCACATATCTGAGAAGAGATTCAAAGATATGTGTGAAGTTAACCAGCCCTGAGCGAGCGTGGTTGACTATGGCCTAGTCATCCCTAACTTAGGATAGTCTGATCCCGTCAGTAAGGACATATAGTGGGCTGATGATAATGATGATGATATTTATAGTTGTAAGTGTTCTGATAAAGCTTAGCTAGCATTTAACTTAACAATTAATTTATTCAAACTACGCTTAGAAGTTTTGACGATGATGCAATTTTTAGTTTTTTTTCACAGTTCCTAGTTGTAAAAATTAAATGCTAATATATTATTCAAGGACTAGGAGAACATAAGTTAGTAACAAAGAAATAAACAGGTTTTATTTCATTAAATATATTTAACAATTATTCAAATGAACGAATCTTAAAACAATACCTGTTATTTTATACAGTATGTTATATTTGCATTTATTTATTAAAAATAACTGTATATACTAAGATTATTTTAATATACAGTTAAATATTGACGGTTATTAATACGAATAAGTGCTCCATAATAGACTAGATGTCGCCCGCGACTGCGTCCGCGACGAGTTAAAAAAAACCATAATGAGTATCCTATGTGTTCTTCCAGACTAAGTTCAACGAGGTTCGTTCAGCCGTTATGGAGATATCTTCAACCAAACATCCATACATCCAAACATTTGCATTGATAATATTAGTAAGATTATTAAGAAGTAGCATAGTAAGCGTAAGGTTTGTTGAAATTACTATTAAAAAAATCTTTTTGAAAAGGTTTTTGAATTGAAATTAGTCAAATATATTTCAATATCTTTTTTATCAACATATATCAAAATTCTTGTTTCATATTCAACATTATTTATCCTTATTTTGCCAAATTTAAATTTCCGGTTTCTAGCGCCGGTGCGACGCGTCATTTAAATTGTGGTTTTGAATTCTTTGTTTACATAATATTTTAATATGTACCTATAAACGACTCACGTGACTTTTATTAAAGCGATATTAATTCGCTCATTTCGTACACACAGCAGTGAATCGTCGACGCGAGTCGTCTAGTCAAACAGTACTAGCATTACGACTACATGTCAACTCGTGAGATTTGCTCCGCCATTTTGAAAATTGCAGCGACTTTTCTTACCACAATCCTGACAAACAGGTTGAGAGCGATTGTCTTTAGCGATGACAGATAGAATTGTCAGCAACGCGCTATGTATGACATTGTAAGTCGGTTAGCGACTTAAATCACCAGGTTTCGGAAATTTATGTGCCTTGTGTACGAAGGGCCTTCCCAAATAAAGATTTTTCCACAGTAACTTAAATTATCAATAGTTTTGAATGATAGCTTATTTATTGGTAGTGTGTAAAACCAATGTATGTAGTATATTTAGATTGTAGTAAAGAGTGATTACGATACAGAACCTTTGCCTTGAGCAGACCGGTTCACAACGGCGGCGTGGCGGGACTCTCTGAGGTCAACACATTAAATCATATGCTACTTTTACGCATTTAACACGGTATCAATTGTTATTTTTTTAATTTATTTTTTTTAAACTTCATGTTTCTTCAGTAATATATCACAATATATGAGCATATAATCTCACTGATTTTGTAATGTTGTTTATCTTTCGTTGGGATTCTAAAGCCCGCTACACACTTTAAGTTGTAACTGCACAATCAAAATGGAGGCGTGTAGCGGGCTTTTATTCTCCTCTTAAGTATTTAAGTACACAAATATTATTAGTTCTAAATCCCGTTATTAGTTCATGGCTGGACATACCATAGGGTCAATAAAAGGACAAGGGTAAAAGTTTGTCACAATTCAAATTTAGATGCTTGCAATGAAATAGTAGCTATCAGATTATTCAAGTATATATTTTGAACATAAAATTTTCCTTTCTTTTTATAGTATCAGAATGTGTGATTAAGGGAAAGTCTGAAACAAAAATATAATATTAACTTAAATCAATAGTTTGAAGACATAAATAAAATATTATCTCGTTCTTAATTACATACACAGAAGTTTAAAAATTATAAAGCTCTATCTGCTGTTTAACAAATAACTCGAGATAGATAGGAATAGCAATCAATAAAACAAGGAATCAATGACGTTGAAGCTTTGAGTAAACAATCAAATTTTGCGACATAAGTGTTTATATAATTGATTAATTGTATTCCGCTATATTTGAAGCTTTTATCTATATTTAAAACTAGTTGTCGCCCGCGACTCCGTCCGCGCAGAATTTCAAAAAATAACATAACTTAATTAGTATCCTATATGTTCTTTCAGGTTATGTTCTATATGTATACCAAATTTGATCGAGATCCGTGCAGGCGTTCTGAAGATATCTTCAAACATCCATCCATCCATCTTAACATTCGCATTTATAATATTAGTAAGATGTTTAATGAATATCTTAATCAAAGGGAAGCTTTACATTTAAAACCCCATTTATAATAGATTTGATAAGGCGAGTTTGCTAACATTTAGTTAATTATAATGTCTTACGATAGTTTTCAGATTGACAAATGTTAATTGTTACTTATCAATAAAATTATCCTTGTTATCGTAGTCAGGGAGAAAAATAGCGAAGGTTAAAATATCTGACTATGAGAAAATAGTTCGATAGAGTCACCCAGATACATTTTTATCTTGTTAATGTAATGTATTTGGTGCTCGATAATGAAACATTAACAATGGAACTTTTGTTTATTTCAATAACAAATTCAATTATTCTTCGAAGACATTACAACAATGATATTTAATTAGCAAGAAACGCAGATTTGCTAAATATATGCATTTAACATCTATTATTTTTTAACTTTTTTTTTTATATCATAAGGTGGGAAACGAGCGAGCGGCCACCTGAAATCGCTGAAATAGCGAAGTGACCGTTGCTCATAGAGGATGCACAGAAAGAAAATATTTTCCCTTTCCATGCATCCTCTCACCCGGAAAGTCCACTTCCACTTCCCCTCCTTTCCTTATAAGAAAAAGGGTGAGAAGGGAAAGAGGACTAAATTAGGCCTCCGGGGCGCACACTCATAAGACGAAACGCGAAATTTCTTCCACTTCACCCCTGTCTTCTGTGTGGTCGTGGTATTTCACCGGACGAGCCGGGCCAATTCGTGCGAAGATGTTAAAGCAGGCTCTACCGCTGTTAACTAAGATTATTCCGATCTTTTTGTTATTACTAAATTTATTACGCATTTATAAATCTAATAAAATAAATCTAATTTATTTACTCATCTTCGTAACAGTGTCGCGACTTCCGCACTATACGAAAACGTTTTGCGGAACTAACTAAAAACATATACAACCTTAAAACAAGATAATTACTAGAAACAATAACAAGGGCGGTTGAGCTGAGAGGCATTGCCTCGGGTGGTGGATATCGCGACACTCGTTCTCGTCCGCCATAAAGTCGCGCGACTCCCAACCATCCACACGTCTCCTAAAATACCGCCGACAGAATTAAAATATATTATTTAGGCAAATTTTTAAAAACAAATTATTTCAAAACATCCTATGCGTACACACAGGACTAGAAGTGGCCTGCAATGTTACCTAACAGTGATATTTGACGCGAGTTCGTATTTTTTAGTGATTTATAAAAATAAATCAGATTTAAAAACTTTATGATATTATGCATTGATTTCGTTTAGCCTGTGTCCGTGTATTAAAGCTTTGTAATTGAAAACTTTATCAGCTGGTAAGCAAAATATATTATTATTTTAGTATGAAGGTTATATTTAAAAGTAATTAAATTTTGTTTAATAATTTTTCGTCGGTTTATTGTACTGTAAAAAATCTTACTTATTACTAATATTATTATATAAATGCAAATATTTAGATTGATGGATGTTTGAAGTTATTTCTAGAACAGCTGAACGGATCTCGATTAAATTTTTCATATGTATAAAACATAGTCTTAATTCTGCGCTTACGGAGTCGCGGGCGACAGCTAGTATTTTTATATATCAATGCAATTTTTTTAATTTTATTCCTCCTGATCCTCTGGTATTGCAGATGTCTATGGGCGTCGTTGAAAACCTCGGTATTCCCGATACTCGTTTTCCCCCTTCTGTTATGAAAAAAAAACATGTCTTACAGTTAAATAAGTTATTTTTTATTTGCACAACAAGTTTCATTTGTTTGAGTCACGAATAAAAAAAATAAACAGTTATATTTTGGTCATGTAGCGGTAAAATGATTATTCATTATAATAAAGTTACATTTTATATATTACTTGAAGAACTTAGATGCACATATGAAAAGAAATTGGGTTCATAGAAATTTTATTGCATTATTAACTTTAGCTCGACACTCCGTTCGGATTAAAAATAAACTTAATAAGTAAGTTATGTGTTCTTCCAGACTATATCCTACATCTATGTTAAATTTTACCGAGATCATTTAACTATTTAATGAAGATCCAACCATCAAAACTTTCACATTCATAATAATAGTAACATAAGTAGTAAAATTTACCTCGTCCTTTGCTTAATTTAAATTAACATTTAATTACATGAGTAGAGAATGTTATTAAATTGTATTATGTTATTATTATGCGTTTAATTATAGTTATACAAAGTGACAACTTAATTAATACTAGAATGAAACAAACAATTTAGAGTTTAAATCTTGTTCTAATAATATGCAACGAAAATTTAAACTTAAAGAAATAAATTATTGGTTAGTAAATAAAATGCAATATTTTATTCACAAACTTACTTCAAATACAATTTTGTATTTGAGACATTTCATACTACAGTTCTGAATAAAGCAACAAATAAAAGTGTTTAATTAATCAATGATATTCATCAGCAACTAATTCTTCATTCGAATACTACTTTGGGACTTTGTTTATTTTGGTAATTATAATGATACCGGTAATTTGGCTTAAGAAGAAACAAAATCCCTCCTTACGAAGCTTACAACATTTAAAATATAAATGAATTAAATAATATTAAATTTTCATGATGACAGCTGTCATCTCAGACACCGTCGACGCGGAATAAAAAAAAATTTAGTAGCCTATGCGTTCTGCCATGACTATGTTCTACTCTATGCCTTTCAGTGAGTTTCGTTTAGCAGTTCTAAACATTAACATTTATAACACTAGTAGGATTTTGTGAAATTAATAACTAACTTAATTGTAGTTAATTTATCTCTTATATCAAACCGGTAATATAGTATTATTAAGCTGTATTTTTATTTATAAATTATGATTAAAAATAATAAAGAGAATGCTTTGAACTTGGCGTTCGTTCACTCACAAATGCAACACGATTCTTATAGATTTAATGTTGTTTTTTTAGGAAATCGAATTGATTTCAATTCAACTGGTTTTTACCGGGTTTAGTAATGTCACAAATACACGCTAAAAATATAATTTATGTTGCTGTAGCTTTTTGTTATCTTATATATAAAATTCTCGTGTCACAAGTTTCGTTCCTATACTCCTCCGGAAAGGCTTGACCGATTCTCATGAAATTTTGTCAGCATATTGAGTAGGTCTGAGAATCGGCCAACATCTTTTTTTATCCCCTTAAATGTTAAAGGGTAGTCCACCCCAAACTTTTTATTTTTTAAACAAACTGTAATATATACAATGAAACACGAGTGTCAAGTCCAAGATGTTTAATTCGACTGATCCACAAAATATCCATTCCATAGGGTAAATTATACAAAGTAATTTTATAGCTACCTACATCACATTCCTCTACACTAAATTAAGAACTATCTTAAAACTATCTTACAACAATAATGATAAAATACTTAAACACTAAGCAAACACTAACTGGGAATTACACAACTTAACAACAAAACTCTTAACGTAAGTATAGTAAAATACCACAATATTAATAATTACTTAGGCTTAATTAATCGGCACTGCCTAATAGGGCGAGCTCTAAGTGCGGCAGCCGGGGACACAACATGTCCCGTCCCGCCCGGTGAAGCCGGAGCGGGCTGCGGCTGCGACGCCGGCGGCTCAACCACGCGCGACGCCCCCGCTCCCGCCGGCCCCTCCGAATCGTCCTCCTCCAACACCGCGCCCCCAGAGTCTGACCCTTGAGCGTTCGCACTGACTGGATGTCCGCCTAACCCAGGCGGGGCAGACGACAACGATTGCCTGCCCACGCTCGGCCTCCTACGCAACTGATCGATGTGCCTGTGCACCACCCCACCGTCAGAGCCTCTTACCCTAAAGTTACTACTCCCTAGGATGTCTACTACCTGCCCCGGAATCCATTTCTCCCCTTTTAGATACTGTCTGTACCAAACCGTATCGGATTTGCCAAAAGTCCGGTTGGCCCCGCCGGCTGCCTCCTGCTGGCGTTGTTGTGCGCAACGCACTTGGCCCTCTCGATCCGGTTTTATTGCATCCAGGCGCGTACGTATCGGTCTGCCGAGTAAGAGCATCGCCGGGCTCTCGCCAGTCGTACAATGTTCCACGTTTCGGTAGTAAAGTAAAAACGACCACAGAGCCCTGTTTATATCCCGCTTCTCTTGCAGCGCTTTCTTAATTATCCTCTTAAGCGTTTTAACCGCGTTTTCGGCTAACCCGTTCGACGATGGGTGATACGGTGGAGTAAAAATGTGTTGTATGCCGTAATACCGGTTAAAATATTCGAACTCCTTTGAGGAAAACTGAGTACCGTTATCCGTGACGATCTGTCTTGGTATACCGAACCGGCTGAATAATTCATTCAAACGATCAATTAAATAGCTCGCCGAAACCCCCGTCATGTGGAAAACTTCGATCCACTTCGACATCGCATCCACTACCACCAAAAATGTTTTCCCCCCAATTGGCCCCAAGAAATCTAAATGGAGGCGGGTCCAAGGGCGCGAGGGCCAGGGCCACATGCGCGGCGTCTGCCGTGGCGGCGCGTCCGCCTGCGCCGCGCACGTCTCGCACTCCCGGCACGCGCGCTCCACTGCTTCGTCGATACCCGCCCACCACACGTAGCTGCGGGCGAGCGCCTTTGACTTTACTATGCCCATGTGGGGTTCGTGAATAATTTTTAAAATTTTATTTTTACATTGTTCGGGCACCACTAACCGGTGCCCCCACATAACACACCCTAATTCCTCGTACAACTCATTTCGCCTATTCCAGTACGGTTTCAAATTTGCCAATTCGCAGTTTGCAGGCCAACCGTCTCGTATGTATAGCAATACCCTAGCCAGTATTGGATCCCGTCCTGTCTGGTTTTTTATTTCATTGTAGTCTAAACCTAAAGAATCCTGAATGCAATGTAAGTAAGTTTGCTCGGGTGGCGTCGGCTCGCTTTGTTTATTACAGTCGATTGGTAACCGCGACAGACCGTCCGCGCTATTCTCATCTGTTCGCACATATTCAATGTCGAACGAGTAAGCCGACAGGATAATAGCCCACCGCTGCATACGACTAGCTACCATTGCGGGGATGCCTGTGTTCGGTCCGAAAATTGATACAAGAGGCTTGTGGTCTGTCCGCAACGTAAAATGTCGGCCATATAAATATTGGTGAAATTTATTTACACAGAAAATTATAGCCAACGCCTCGCGATGTATTTGTGAATAGTTTTTTTCCGCATCGGTCAACGTGCGCGACGCATACGCAATCGGGCGCTCACCACCGCTGCCGGCGTCGATCTGCGTTAACACGCCACCGATGCCGCGCCCACTCGCGTCGCACGTCACTACCAGTGGTTTCCTAGAATCATAATGCGCTAGGGTGTCCACGCTACTTAGTATTTTTTTAATTTTAATAAACACATTTTCACATTCCGCCGACCAGTACCACTCTTTATCTTTTTTTAACAACTCATATAACGGAACCAACCTGCCACTCATGTTTTTTATAAATTTCCCGTAAAAATTTAAAATTCCTAAAAATGACCTAAGTTCCGAAACGTTACTCGGCCTTGGAAGTTTCACAATGGCTTCGATTTTCGATGGATCCGTTTTGATCCCTTCCCTACTGATTACGTAACCCAAGTATCGAATCTCTTTAACTAGGAACACACACTTGCTAGATTTTAACTTGAGACCCGAACTATGTAATCTACTAAAGACAGTCTGTAATGCCTCCAAATGCTCTTTAATTGTTTTACCGCCTATGATGACGTCATCTAAAAATATCTCCACATTAGCAATTCCCCGTAAGAGATTGCACATAATGCGCTGGAATATACCCGGACTTGACGCCAAACCGTAAACGAGCCTATTATATCTATATAGCCCCTTGTGCGTATTAATAACGGTGTATTTCTTGGTGTCGTCTAGTTCAATCTGATTGTAGGCCTGCGACAAATCAATCTTTGAAAAGAAACAAGCCCCGCTTAACCTAACCATTAAATCCTCGATCCGCGGCAAGGGGTAGCGATCGATCTGTAAAACCGGATTTAACGTAGCCTTATAGTCAGCACAAACCCTCAAGGATCCGTCCGCTTTATTTACCGGTACTAGTGGCGAGGCCCAGTCGGAGCAGTCGACGGGCTCGATGACGCCGTCGCGCAGCATGCGGTCCAGCTCGGCGTCGACGCGCTCACGCAGTGCGTACGGCAATGGCCGCGCGCGGTGGAACACCGGCGTTGCCCCTTCCCGCACACGCAGCGTAGCCTGGCCGCCCGTAAAGCGACCGAGTCCGCCACTGAATAGTTCCTTATACCTAGAACATAATTTATTTAACTCCGTAGACCATTTAACTTTATCATTGTTTATGTCCATCTTATGACAATTACTCAACATTGGGACTTTTATATTTAACTCAGTGAGCCATTGTCGCCCTAGTAACGATGTATTACCACCCTTGATAATAAACAATTCTAACCTTTTTTTGTGGTCACCATATCGGACCATTGGTTTTATTAAACCTAGCGGCTTTATTTTTGAGCCGTCATAAAAATTTAAAATTAATGCACTATCTTGTATATGATGATGCTTGAAGTACTCGTTGTATGTGTCAGCGCTTATGCACGATACGGCCGAGCCAGTATCAACTTCCATATTAATGGTAACCGCGTCAACTACGACGGGGAGACTCACCGGTCTGTAATCGTTGAGGCAGAGGTGGTGGAAGTTCTCTTCCAGGCCCTCCTCGTTAGGGTCATCTGCATCAGCTCCCGCGTAGTTCAGCTCGGCGCGGTCGGCGGCCCGCTGCCCGCCGGAACCACGACTGCCGCGCTCAGGACACACGCGCCGCAAATGTCCCTTCCGCCTGCACCAGCTGCACATATAATTACGGAACCGACATACTGCGTACCGATGATCCGATGACCCGCAGCCTGTACAAGCTGCGTACCGGCTTATGTCTCTCTCTCCGGCGGCCGCTCCGCCGCGCCAGCTCATCGCACCGACTGAACCGCTGCGTCCACTAGTCGCTCCGCCACGCGAACCAGGCGCGCCGCCCGGCGCCCCCTTGCCTCTTATTTCCTTAGTAAGAACACTACGCACCCCGCTATGCCTTAACGCATGCACAGCCTGCGTCGCTTGACTGCCATCGTCCAGAGGCTTCTCCACAGCCGCCGCATCCCGCTCTGCCGCTTCCAACGTGCTTGCTATTTTAACTGCTTTCGTGAAGGTCAACGAGTCGTCCTCCGCGAATAGGCGCTGCCGTATGACATCACTGCGGAGGCCACACACAAATTGATCGCGTAGATTTTCGTTGAGGTTGCTTCCGAAGGCACAGTACCGTGACAGTTTCTTAAGTTCCGCCACGTATTCAGATACATTTTCCTCCGTGGCTTGTCTGCGCTGCCTGAACTTGTACCGTTCCGCGAGCACGGACGGCGTCGGTTCCAGATGCTGTTGCATTAAATCCACCGCATCCTTGAACTTCAGATCGGAAGGCTTCCTGGGGCTGGCCAAATTCACTAAGAGTTCATATGCTTCCTCCCCCATTACTGCGATCAACGTCGGCAGCTGCACCTCCGCCTTGATTCCGTTGGCAACGAAGTACATCTCCAGCCGGTCCACGTAGGACGCCCACGCGGCACTCCGCACATCGAAGGCGCCGATTAGTCCCACCGACATTATCGAACGTAAACAAGTGTAAATACGCCGCACAACACTAAATGTCTGCACGCCGCGCAAAATAACACCTTGCGCGTATATTTTTTTTAATCCTCGTCGCCACTGTAATATATACAATGAAACACGAGTGTCAAGTCCAAGATGTTTAATTCGACTGATCCACAAAATATCCATTCCATAGGGTAAATTATACAAAGTAATTTTATAGCTACCTACATCACACAAACATATAGCTTTAACAATAGATAAAAAAAGAAGTTTGTCATGCCAGTATTATTATTATTGTTCCTAGTTCTGTAAGATACTAATAATTTTTTTTATAAATAAATAAAATTTCATAATTTACTTATAATACTTACCTTTATTAAAGTTACTCTTCTTTGATCAGAAAAATTTTGACGCAATGAAAATCGCGCGAATCTTCTGTCACTTTAGTGTTGTGTAAAAATATTACGGAACGCGAAAGTTTTAATAAAATATTAATAGCAAATTATTTTTTATGAATTTCTGGTATTTTTTTTCTGTTTATAAATATTTTTTTTTTATTTTTAGATAAAACAGATCCAAAAAGTTTAGTCTTTATGTTTTAATTTAAAACAATTCGTTATACACTGTGGTGCGACGCATCATTTTAATAAATGCATTGAAAATAACCTTTTCTTTTATTATAAAAACTTAATTTATAAGTAGACAGGTTTATCATTTAAGTCGACAAACCTGTTTTACCAGTATTATATATTTTTAGGTAATTTAGCGTGTAAGTAATTACTATAATAATATTATCAAAATCTTATAACACTTAGTTAATAGCTAGCCTTTATATTTTTTTTAAAAAGGTTACATACGTTTTTTAATGAAAAAAAAATTTTAGCTGATTTTTCAAGGTTTTTGTTGACCAAAGCACGTTCCCCGGTTAATGTTAATAACCATAAATAATACAATACGTAAATCTTACAGAGTATAAAATGAATTTAAAATTAAACTTTAGCCTGCGCTTGTTCTATATTATTCCGGTATTATTGAAAATCGAATACGAGGAATATGAGACGTTTGCATTAAGAAAAGTATAAGACATATTGTTAAGAATGAAATATTCGAACTTTTTATATTTTTGAGTTTGAATCTTATGTTAACATGTTTTCCTTAGAGAGAATGTAAATAAATCGTTGAGTAATTGGATACCATAGACGAATCAAGTCTACTTATTTAGCCTTACGTTATTCCTCGACCGTTCTCAACACATATCAAAGTTTATAATTCCGAAAATTAAACTTTTACAATATCAAAAACGATGAATAATTAAATATTTCTTAACATTGCGTATGAATTTTAAACAGTTATGCCAGTTTTTTTTTCTTCTCAATTGTATAAACACCACGAAACTAATCTGGTAATTTTCCCACGAACGTATTGTTAATTTTGAAATATAGTATACGCATAGAGCATAGACTATTGTCGAGATGTTATGGTTATTTAAAAACTAAATGATATAATACCTTCGAAGTTTCAACGTCAACTCGAGCGTTTTATTCGACACGGCTCTACAATAATCAACAATGCAATTTAATTATGCATTGTACATTCATAGCAGTGTAAAATATTTGTATTACAATCTGTTTTAAACATTCTAATAATACAAAAAAATGTTTAAGGAAATAACTACTAAATTAATAAGATTTTTATTTATAATTTGTATTCGTCTAGGCTTAGCAGACCTTGCTTGCTTGTTTCCAAAAGTGCTTCTCTGTTTTTCTGTAACTAGGAATAAATTTAAGGCAAAATTAACGGCCTTAATTATTAAATATGTTGTAAATTTTTTTTTTAGTTATTAACGCTTATTATTGTTTCGTATATAAATTTTCCCGTACAACGATTCAATTCTTTTGTAATCATCAAGGAAAAGAAGAGTGTGTCATGTCAAATGGAAATTCGTAATTTATTATTCAGTGGACTTAAGATAAATTTAATGAGATATATTTGCACAAAAGTTGCTGTTGATAACTGACATATTTACGTGTCAGTTCACTTTTGATTAAAAACTTGTTTTAACAGTTTTATTTATTTATCTGTTGCCAGTGCATGATGCAAACATTATTACTTCTCAGTCGTAATTCTATGCTAAAATTATATAATACCATACGCCTGCTAATTTTTACAAACTGTAAATATTTTCGAGTATTTTCTTAAATGATGTAATCCTG